CACAGGCTGTTTATTCTTTCTCAGAATTTCTTTATCTGTCTAGTCGTCACCTAATTCTAACCTTGTTTTTGCCCTTATAACCTTCTGTATTATTTATCAATTTCTTTTGTACTTTTCTGATTACTGCTGGGGCTAGACGATATTCAGATTCCCGACCTATCGCTCATCGCTAACCTTATGCTTATAAAGGAATAATATATTTTAATTTTAATTGTCAAGGGGCATCATTTTTTAGCTGTTTTGCTTCCTGTAATAACTGTTCGCTATCTTCAATTGCAGGAATTTGACAATTATTTTAAGCTTTTCTTCCGCTTTCATCTCTTTCACCATTTTCAATCTTCCAAATTTGAATTTCTTTATTTTTCTTTTTTTTACTCTTGCACTAAAATCATTTATTAACACGGTATATGTGAAGTTTTTCTTGAATGTATTGTTTACATCGTTGTAGAAATCAACAGAAAACTATAATTCTGCTTTATTTCTTGCAAAACGAATTCGATCTTATAAACTTTTGCTCCAGCAAGCAGTTTGGAAAATTCGTTTTATCTCATGTGTTATGCTGCAGTAGTCAAAGAATGTAAGGTTTTTGAGCAAAGCTGATAGTTTTACGGGGAGATCGTCTCGTGTGCTGTTGCCAGAAATACTGTTCTACGGGTTGGTTTCATAGGTGTTGGGAAGGTAAGGAAAAGACTTTGGAGACAACGGTAATTTCAAATGCTGTTGTTTTTAACCAGTGATTGATTTCCTTTCCACGTGTGTTTTACCGGATGAGGAAGTTTAATAGTACTCTTATTCAATCAGAACAGAAAATCCTTTTTTCTTTTCACCGTTGAATTGTTGATGCTTTCTGGAAAAAGTTAAGGGAGCAAAAACATCAAATAATATACAACTGGATTAAAAGAGCTTTATCAAAAAGAAAAACAGTATAAAAGATTTGCTTTAATCACTTCAAATCTTCTGTTTGGATGTCCCGTTCCCGCATTAAAAAAAAAAAGTAAAAATCAATTATTTTTTGCTATCACTAAATAAAAGTTTTTCCAGTTGTTCTAACCGTGGCTCAGTCAAATCAGCTGATGTACTTTGATCTAGAAAACACATTTAGCTAAATATTGATGGCAAAATAATTTTTTTTGACTGCTCTGATTTTGATCTTGACACATTTAATACAGGAGCTGCTGACCATATTAGCTTGGTTGCAAATTAATTCAAAGCAAAGGTTTCTGGAGAATGTACTTTTATTTTGCGCAAAGGAAGTGGTTTTGGAAGTGGTCTTACTTTTGCCCATAATGCGAACTTGTAATTTTGAGAAACTTTCACAGCATCGCAGTTATTCAGACTTATTTTAAGAAACTAGTGAGCTTTGTTTGGAAAATGATCAACTTAGTCGTTAGCCATGTAACTGCTGCTGTAAATGAGAGTTCTGAAGCAAAATTCACTATTGAAACAGTTCTATTAAAAAGTCTCATATGACTGCTGACTAATCTGCTTGTAAAAGTTGCTTCCAAAAAGTCTTCTGTACAAGCAGTTCGTTCGAAGTTTGAAGAAGTTCTACAAATACTGTTGTTACTCACAACTTTTCTGCTTTCAAGATCTTTGTATCTTTTTGTTCGTTTTCGTTAAGTGAGAAGCTTTCAGCATTGATAAGAAATGCTGCGGACTGCGCTAACACAGAAATTTGGTCTGCTTTTCTAATTCAATCAGAATAAGACATGTTTTGGCACTAAACTTTTGAGAAGAAAGGCCTAATGTTATAAGTTTAAATCGATTCTTAATCACATTGTCGGCCACCACGAATCATCTAGTTTCATAATTTCTTATTTCCTGTGTGCTTTATGGAACGGTAAAACAGTAGATGTTAGTTATAAAATGAATACTTGGTAGTTTATCTGATTACAAGAGAAGAACTGGATGACATCAGAACGCTCAAAGTGTTGAAGTTGAATACTACTCGTAAGTGATTAAATTTTGTTAACTGATTTTCTGGCAAAATCAGTTAACAAAATTTAATTCCGCAAGCTTAACAAAGAAAATTTTGGAGCTTTAGGGATGAAGGTACTAATATAAAGAATATGACAGTTACGTTCCAAATGCCGGTTGCATGATGAAAATGATTCAGGCTGAACGGGAGTTTTGATAACGTACTTGGAAGCTGATATTATACACTTGTAGAATTCCGGGCTTTTACATAATTATCGCTCAAAAATATATAGAAATAAAGTGCTACTCCAGAATTTATTTCAAAAAAAATTAAATTGAAAATTAGTATTAAATGTGAGGCTTAAGGTGTTTTCAACAGTAGAATCGAAATTTGCTATCATACAATAAGTTCGAAATGCATAAATAAAATATAAAAGAAGTTTTAACAATTTTTGTTCTGAGAAAAACAAAGATCATTACCGCAGCATAGATTTCTCTTCAAAGTAACCTGTTTTTGGTAACTGCTCCTCACAGAAAACGGTTTTTTTGAAAATATATTCACGTGAGAATTGGTTGAATTATTTGTTTGCAGGGAACAAAAATTGCCAATGGATTTGGTTTTTTTCATAGAGAGCACTATTAGAACGAAATTTATTTGGTAGCTAGGAAATTCTAACAATATAAGACAGGGTATGAAGAAAAGATAGACTAAGCTCCAATAAACTACTGCATCGAACGTCTTAGGAAAACACATGGGGGAACACTTGAATACTACAGCAAGAAACGTATCTGAAAAAGTTTTGATAGATGAGGAGATAGTTTTGTTTAAAGGCTGCTGACTGTGCGTATATCAAATAATATTTTGTCAATAATAATTAATTGCAGTATTCGTGTTCTTGCCTCTTTTTCGTTGTGCAAAACCTATATTTTTAAATATAAAATATTTGCAAAAGATCTAAATTTTTTAATCATGATTAAGAAAGGACTGTCTAAAAGGCTTTGCCCAAAATTTTTTAGTTGTTTATATCTCTTTGCTAGTTTGAGTAGTGTGATTCGTTTCTAATAAATGAAGTGAAAAAAGCAAAACTTATGGCAAAAAAAAAGCTTAACCACAGTTACCTCAAAGCGACCTTGTTTTCTTTAGAACAAAGATGTGTTGTGCCACACTTCTTTCTCGAAAGTAATTTTCAGTCAAGTTAACAGGTTTGGCATAAGTTCCATAGAAAACATTGATAAGCTCAAACCCTTTGAAAAAAATATTTTTTTTAAACAATCACTTAAGCACCTACAAATTGAGAAAATTTAACATTTACCTTCACAAAAACAATTGTAATTTCTAAGCTATAATAAACAAAGAAAACATTTAAGGAGTTATGTGTATCATTGCTTCTGTGCCCTTCTTTGTCTATCGTTCTTTGGGGAGCAAAATTACTTGTAAAGTGTTGCCCCTTACCTCTGCCTTATCTATCGCAGGGGAGGGATACTCGCTCATTTTGCGAGACAATGTCGTATACAGTCGTGTTCGCTTCTTTTGGGAGGTGGGGTGGGGAGGGGAGGGAGAGAGGGGGAGGAAAAGTTAAATGACGATTAATTTGACTACGCTGTTTTAAGCTTTTAAATTTATTTCCTGAATAATACACGACATTTACTTTCAAAATTCAATTTTTCTTAAAGAAGCAAATTTTACCGAAGGTATGCATGCGTGACTGTTTGATTAATCCGTCTTCTTCCGGCTCCTTGTTAGCTAGTATGCTCATCGTTCTTTATGTTTTCCAGGATCTTAGCAGTAAGTAGTATCTGAATATTTACAAACAGCTGTTTGGCAGGTTGACACCCACTCGAGTAAAATCTAATAACGCTTGAGAACTTTCTGACTTCCATTTAGTAAACTGGGCGACGCGCTTTTCTGCGGCTTAACTTTTCACATTTGTGTTCTTTGATTTCTCCCCTTTGACCCCTTTTACCTTGCACCCAAATACGCTCAGGATCTCCTGACTGTTACGATACAAACACAAAGGTGGATCTTGGTGGACACTCATTTCTCAGCTAGTAGCATAGCTATTGATATGCCCTACTTTCTATTAAAGTGCCAGAATAGGTCTGTGCTTAAGCAATGTACTTTAAGCTGTACACTGTTGAAATCTTACACTTCGATTTCTATTTTCAGATTTTGCTAAACTGAAAAACTAAGGTATTTTAGACACCTTGCATGCATAGAAATCTAGCAGTTTTCACTTTTTGATAAAATGTAACTTGACGTTTAATTTCTGTCATTCGGGCTTTTTTCTTGTTTCATAAATCTAGGGCCCACATATACCAGTAATCCAATTTAGGAGAATTCTGCATTTCTCTTTCTGAATGTATCTTATACAGAGTAAAACCTTATAAACGAAACTCAGTAGCGTTTGGTTGTAAGAAGTAAGAGCGGATTAGAATTAATGGAAGTATTTTACTTTCTACGTATGTGAATGGAACCGTGTGAAATCTTATTTTGGAACAACGGAAAACAATGTCTTACCATTAAATAACAATGGCAGCCTTACTCGACCATAAACTCTATGAGCGTTGTAGAAAAGACCATCCATACCTGATGGCAAACCGAGGAAAGCCAAGCCTCCTTCTTTTAAAATACACCACGTTTTCTGCATTTCACGGATATCTCCAATTGGATCTGCAACATCTTTTCACTAACACATCGGTTGATTACCCATAGCAGTGTTTTATGAACAAATTTAATAAATTTTTTTACCTAACGGATCGCCATATCGACCTAATCCGCTGTGTTCTATACTTGAGAACGAAATTACAAAATCGAATTTTTCTACGTACCTAAGTCAAAAAATTTGTTAATACAAATTACAAAATAATGTTTTGAAAAGCTTTTTAATGTGACAGTTAACGACAAACTTTGTCAGCGACAAGCACTGAACTTACTTTTGCCATTCTCGAGCAAATTTTATTGGATGCTCGTACCCTAACTTCTCATGATCAGTAATAATTTTATTATATTCCAATGTAAGCAGCTGAAACAGTTAACTATTCATAGGCATTACATCCAAAAGTCAACCAAGTTTGAAGTTTTTCTAGTCTGATAACCGCAACATAAATTTTCCCACATGTTAATAACAGAAAAGTTTAAAATTTTAATGAGAAAAACAACTAGATGCTTTTAACTGTATAAGACTCTGTAAAAAATTGCATCTAAATTGCGGAAGCAGTAAACAGGAAAGAAGTGTAGCAAGAACAAATTGTTTCATAACACCCATGTAGAGTACAGTAAAAAAGTAAAGTATCCTTTGAAAGATTTTTTACATATACTATAAAGGGAGATGTACTGTTGCAGTAGAAAATTAGATCATACTTTTTTAGCTCCATTTTTTAAGCAAAGACTTTCAACCCATGGATTTATTGAACCCACTACAACGCCCTTCATTCCGGATATGTTATAATAAGCAGTTGCGTAGAAAACTGCATCTGGAAGAGAAATTGTTTCGTTGTAATATACCTCTTATTCGCTTACTGTCTACCTAATACTTTTTTCCCTGCTTTTCGTTGTTCTGTAAAAATTTCAACTAATGTATTCCAAAAATTTTTTCGCTTTTAACAATTATTCATAAAAGTTACTTTGAATTTAAGAATTTTCTGTTTAAACTCAAAATTCTGTAAAAATAAAAAAAAAAAACTGCACGATAAAGAAAATAACAAATAATTTTGCCCAAGAAGTATTTCTTAGTAGTCATTAAAAAAAAAGACAATAGCTTTAAGTGGACCTCCTTCGCCTGGATAATCACTTCGAATGACGGTACTGTTGACAAAGCTTTGAACTAGTGTTTTTTTCCAGATCATGTCACCTGTGTTTTCCGGTCTGTTGTCGAAGTAGCTAAAGAAAAAAAAAAAAAAAA